CAAATTGTTTACATTATTGTGATGTAAAGCTACTCTAACTCCTCAAGTCTTCAACACCTCTGAAACACAACCAAATAAGAGAAAGGTATAAAAGAAAAAATTAAAAAATAAGAGTAATCAAAAAGTCCAGGGAGATTTGAAAAAGAAGCAAATAGAACTTTAGAAATAAAAAAGTCATCGAAATAAAAAAAAACTAAATGAATGACATTAACAACAAATTAGATACCACTGAAGAGAGAATTTAGTAAAGTAGAAGATGATGCTAAGGAAATTACTTTCCTGTCCTATTCTCACTCTTAGCTGATGATGCTACTTCCTCCTTCACTGAGAAATAATTGTGGCATCTCCTCCTCAGAGATCTGTTAACTCTGCAATATCCCTCATTCTAGCTTCTAGGTTTCTGATAATCCCAACTTTTCCTCTTTGTTCCCCTAGCTCTAGGGGTGGTAACTTCTTTCTTTATGATCTATATTATGTCAAGTTTCCCTTTTTGCGCTTTCAGCCCTCCAACCCCTGTGTAAACAGCCCCTTATATTAAATTCCCTCTATTAGTGTGCTTGGAGCCCTTGACGACAATAGGTTTGGTTTGCTTGTTTTTTTGTTTTGTTTTGTTTTTTTAATTTATTAGTGTGCTTAGTATGTTTTTTGTTTCCTTGACTGGACCCTGATTGATACAGAATTGGTACTGGGAGTGGTCCCGAAAGATAGAGCCACAAAGGTGGAATGTGGGAATTGGTCTAGTCATGCCCTTGCCAATAGGAATTGGAATGCTGGTAATTCATTGCATGCAGTGGATCACAATTAATCAAGCTATCATCTGTGGCTGATTGGGATGAAGTGCCAACTGAACTGTCTTGGGATTTCAAGGGGCTGCTGCACTTGATTGTTATGGTAGTAATGATGGCTATAAGAACTGTAGTGTAGATGGATTCCTCTGAATGCATTTGAGTGCATACAGAGCAAGATCAGGTTTCTTAACTCTTTCAGCTGAAGTTGCAGTATGCGAACCAGAGAGCTTCCATGCTAGCCCTAAAAGAAGCTCTTATTCCTTGTACCCACAGGAGTAATAGTGCTAAAAATCAAACACAAAATTTAATTGTACGGGCTGCAGAATTAAAATGTCAGTTGAATTCACAGCTTCACCAAGTTTCTCAGGTGAAATGTAGAGCATGGAAGACCTGAAAGCCGTGGGACCCTGAAACTTGGAATTTGGATATCTGGTTGGACTCAAGTGAAATTGAGAATCTGGAAGCCCCCAGTGATTCTGAGCCTCCCTTGCCAGGTACACACTATAACCCAGAGTAGGGTCAGGTTAAGGCTGCAGGGGTAGTGTTTACATGTTCCTGGGATTTGTTTTATCAGGTAGGGTAAGACACACAGACTTGGAAATGACTGTCAGGAAATGACTGTCATGAATGAAGAAGTGTGTTACACTTACAGGTTCCTGGGCTTAACACAGCATGCCACAAGGCATGGCCACGAAGAGGGCTGCACCAGGGATGAGGCAACAATCAGGTGGAATTGTAGGAGACGGCTTACGTATGACAAGCAGGGCAGGGTTAACTAGGTTTTGCGAGCTTCCTGGGGAGTGGATATTTTGAATAATTCTGCAGACTCAGGGGGCATAGGGGCTGTCCCTAGTTGTTGGGTACCTGACCCTGGGGTGATTAGGGCGGGTACATAGTGGCCCAGGAGCGTGAGAGCCCGATAAAGGGAATGGTTGGAGAGTGGACTTATTCAGCTGCTCAAGAAGGGGAAAGGACCAGCCTCCAGCCAGGGCCTCAAAACTGGGTGAAGACAGTATTTTAAGAAAAAAAAAAACTATATTACAGGAGTCAGATTGTAGAGGACCAGGAAGGCTAAACTAAGAAGCTAGAAAATTATTCTGTAGCCAACAAGGAGATCTTAAAGACTTGGGAAGATTCATGTCGTAGCAGTGTCTGGGATGAACTAGAGGGGATAAGAACAGGAGGAGGATAAACAATTGGGAGGCAGTAGGAATAGTCCAGGTAGAAGCAGGAATGTTGAGGGGGAACCAGTGTGCCAGATCTTGATGCATTTCCCCAGGGAATAGAGATGCAGGCTGCCAGCTGCCTTGGTGTGAGGCATGTCATTGTCCTTCCATCAGCCCTTCTACCTTACTTATGCCATGTCTGCACCATCTACCCCAACAGAATTTTCTCGGTAGGAAACACCTGTGGGTTCATATGGCTATTCCCAAATCAAATTGAGGATCACAGAGTTTTTACTGACTTGCTGGAGTTTATTTTTGTATCTTTTCTCTTACACTGAGAATATTGCTTCCGTCACTTGTTTCACTGTACCCTGAATCTATAATATTCTTAGAATAGCAGTAGAAATACCATTACTAACAAGATGAGTACTGAAAACGTCCTTGTTTTTGCAGTTCTTTTTGTCCTTAGGTTGTATCTCTGGGAATGAAGTCAATTTCTTTTTAAATGACTTGAAAACAATTCCTTTCTGGGTGGTTAAGTCACCAACCAATACCCGGCTGAGTCCACTCAAAACCTCTGCTCTCCATCAGGCACAGATTGTCTCCTTTCAGAGCTCAACCCCATTCTTTCCTGCGGGGGGTTGGCGGGGGGTGGGGGGGTGCCGCACAGAGTATGGTCTTCCACATGTGGGATCCTATCAGGTTTCCTGATTCTCCCGGCCAGGCAGGGCGCGTCAGTGCAATGGGGAGATGGAAGGTGCATGTCCTAATTTCCTGTAGTAGGTAGGGACACACCTCGGCAGGTGTGTGTGTGTGTGTGTGTGTGTGTGTGTGTGTGTGTGTGTGTGTGTGTGTGTGCAGCGCTCGATAGAGATCCCCCTCCCTACTGAAGAAGAACCAGCTGTTCGCCCTTGCTTTTCTCTCCCTCAAGGAGTCCAGTGGGGAGCGGGCTGCACCCCATCCCGCTTCCACGGCCTGACCTCGGCGGTACCTGTCCCCGGCCACCTGTGGTGGGGAGACGGCCTTCGCAACCAGCCCGGCTCCGCCCGCTCAGCTCCGCCGGGCGCCGCCCTCGGCACCAGGCGAGGCGGGGGCGGCGTTGATTGGACGGTGCTGAGTGAATGACGGGACAAAAACCAATGACGTGACCACCGGAGCCGGCTGTGCGAGGATTGGCCAGGGGCCGCGGGGGCCGGGCGGGCCGGCGCGAGGCAGAGTCAAATGGTGGGTAGAGGCGTCGTCAGGAGGGGACGAGTCAGGTGGAGCGGGCTGGCGGGGCCTGGAGAGAAGGGAGAGGCAGGTCGGAGTTGCCGCCCGCTCCCGTACCAACGCAGTGATGCCGGGGAGGAGTGGGCTCGGGAGGATGGGCGGGATGAAATGAGAACACCTAAGACGGTCCTTCCGATGTCCAAGGACTTCACCCCCCCCCCCCCTTACAGACCGCAGAACCGAGGCCAAGAAGGCCTACTGAAGCACCCAAGGCCTCACGGCCACCAGGCAGCCAGTCTGGGAATGAAAGCCAGGGGCAAGCGGCCGAGCACGGGTCCCGAGGCCTTCCAGGGGCTGACATACACGGCCTTCGGAGCCCTTACTGCCTTCGGAATCGGGGTTTCATTGCGGATCATCTTTGTTTATTGTTGTAAAGTGAAAGTTAACATTTAAGAGTTTTAACTTTTTATTGTTGTGCTTTAAGTGAAAGTTTACAATTCAAGTTGGTCTCTCATACAGAAATGTATTCTTATGTGACCCTAGTTGCTCTCCCTATACTGTGACAGCACACTCCTCCTTTCCACCCGATTCCCCATGTCCATTCAACCAGCTCCTGACCCTCTCTGCCTTCTCGTCTCACCTCTAATTGCGGGTCATTCTTGTTCCATTTCACTGCCACAGTTCTCTCGTGGGCACCGGTATGTGACAGTTGTTGGATACAAGAAAGAGTGGTTGTGAGGCGGTGCCTTGCGCCTTCTGCCTTGCCTTAGAGCACACAGTGCTGTTCAGATTTCACGGTACCTTCAGAGCCCTTATCTACTTCTCACGAAACTGTGTTTAGCGCATACACACAGAAACTCAAAAGGTTAAACAAACATGGAGTTACCGTGTGACCCAGCCATTCCACTCCTAGGTGTATACCCGAGCCATGAAAGTGTCTGTTCACACACTCATACACAAATGTTCAGAGCAGCTCTGTTCTTAATCGTTCTAAAGTGGAAACAATCCAAGTGTCCATCAACAGACGAACACAATGTGGTGCGTTTATACAATGGAATATTACTCGGCCATAAAAAGGAATGAAGTTCTGATACATTCTACAAAATGAACGAACCTCAACAGCATTATGCTAAGTGAAAGAAGCCACCCACAAAAGGTCACATACTGTCTGATTCCTCCACATGAAATGTCCAGAACACGCAAATCCAAAGCTACAGAAAGTGGACGAGTGGTTGCCGAGGCTGGGAGAGGGGAAATGGGGAGTGTCAGCTCATGGGCATGGGGTTTCTTTTTGGGGTGATAGAATTGTTCTGGAATTCAATAGGGATGACGGTTGCATATCTTTTGTGAATATCGTAAAAACCACCGAATTGTATACTCTGAATGGGTAAATTGTATGGTATCTGAATTATATATCAACCAAGATGTTATAAAAAATTCAGAAAGAATTTACACCAAAAGTAAACAGTATTACCTCGAGCAGGTGAGATAAATTTTTTTTGCTTATTTGTATCATCTAAATTTTCTACAGTGACCCTGTATCAACTGTGATTGTTTTTACAAAATAATGTTCAAATCTTATAAAATAAGCAGAACACTTATCATGCTCAGTTAACTAAAGGAAACCTGCTCAGCAAAAAGGGCAGCAGGAGAATGAGCCTGACACCGAGGCTAGTTCCTCGGTGTCCACCACACTCTCCAGAACAATTCCTAAGACAAACTGGTTATGATGCCGAAGAACCCTGATGACCACTTAGTGAGGGCGATAAAAAGAAGGAACTCACGCCATGACATCCGGACACACCCAGCACACTGCTCCATGTAGCTCTGACTCCTGGGCTCATCTTTATCTTGTGTTCCAGTTCAAGGGACAGCCTTTCAGGTCACACTCTGTTCGTTAGCAATGCATCTCTGGGGTTCCCTTTCTCCAGGTTTACTGCTGGGGGACAGGGCTCTCTGGGCTGCTGATTCAGAAAGAAGCTTCTTCCTTGTGTTTTTATCTTCCTCAGGGTTTTATCAGCAAGACACCAAATCACACATACAAGACACACACTGAATCAAGCAGCTGCTTTTCAGATGCTTTATTAACACTAAGTCTAACTAGTATCCTTTGTATCTGAATATAATCAAGTTAGTAGTCTGCTGTGGTCACGTTTCTCATTCGCAGCCTAAAACCAGTTGTAATTTCATCTCTTACAGAGCAGTCACCGCAAGCGGCGCAGGACATCCTAACAGGGGAGATGACAGCAAACAACAAAGGACATTCTAAGGTGACTGCAAACACACGTTATCCCAGAAGCTGCAGGTAGGATGGCAGCAGATGAGGCTGCAACTGGGACAGTGGTAGTTTTGCTTGCTATTCTGTTCCTTACAATTTTATAGCCCACTTTAATGACTCAAAAATGAGAGTGACATCTGTCTCCAGAGCTGCGGTTTAACAGAAAAGTAGCTAACTTGAATTTCTGGATTAGGAATGAACAAAGGTGTGAACCGGCTTTGCTTTTCAAAAGAGAAAAACTTAGTGGTATGCATTTAAAACATGGTTTTGTAACAAGAAACATGAATGCAATGTAAAGATGCCAGAGTCCTAAGACCAAGGCAGCTGAGCAGCTTTCTAAGAAATCAGCTCTACTGGTTTATTTACGATGCGCCTCACGGTCTCTATGATGTGCCTGGCGCTGATTCCAAACATGTCCAGCAAGTCGCTCGGTGGCCCGCTCTGCGGCACTCCCGACACTGCCAGCTGATGGACCAGGATGTCAGGCTCCATAGCAACAGCTGCAGAGATGGCTTCCCCAATGCCACCTGGGGAAGCAAGAGACATTAGGATCTTTCTGGAAGAGGCCGGTCAGCCTCAGTGCGCCCTGATGTAGAAACCTTTGCATTTGCTACTTGCCAGGGAAAACTACTTTTCACCAGTCACCTCTTCCTGTAGACAGTCATTTACTGGCTGGCCAGAAGAGTTCTCACTCGAAATTGTGCATCTCCAAGTCTCTCCCACTCCCGCCTAAAGCTGTCAGGGACCCAACATGGTTAAAGCCAACAGCGAACTGTGTGGAAGGCTGCCTTCCTTAGAAAGGCCAGCTCGCAAGGCTGGTCTTGGCTGGCGTCTGGGAACTCGGCTGGTAAAGTGTCCTACACTCAGAGAAAAGTTTCCCCAACTGATGCGGGTGGTCCCTGTGCCTCAACTGTGTAAACAACATGGCTTCTGTGGAAGCCCTGCTTCCCTTCGGGGAGTCTGCTACTCAGGGGTGTGCCAGGCGTCGGGAGCCCAGGAGCAACACGCTGGGCACCGAGTCCCCCATGGGCTTCCCCGGGTGGACACGTGGCCCCCCAGGTGACTGTATCTCCCACTGCTGGAGAAAGGAGCCCGGGGGGGTGGGGGGTGGGGGGGCGCTAGATGTGCCCCTCACAGCAGGGAGGGGCCTGAGGAAGCTCGTGTGCTGTCTCCATGCTCCGCCTGCCACCCACCCTCCCAGGCTCTGGTCCTGACGGCTCCTGTGGGGGTGGCCTTGGGGACCCCCTCCCCATGAACCTCTGGCACTCTTCATCTCCTTGTCTGCCCTTCCTAACCGCCCCGCCTGGAAGCACCCAGCCCCTCCCCACAGGTGCTCTCTGGGCTCTCTGCTTGCAGGGCACTAGACCCACTTTTTTTTTTTTCATAGCAAACTAGCCACCATTCAAAACTCAAAAGCAGCTGCTAAACGAGTGAGACAGTCCCCTGTGCTGCCAGTGAGCCACCCTGGGGACACACGACGAACAGGGGCATGGTCCCCACCCTTTGGGACCCAGTCTAGGGGGCATGAGAGAGCAGTCCTGAAGGGACACTGTGCAGGTGGGGGCCGGAGGGGACGCACAAGAGCACGGCACATTTCCAATCCAGGGCAACACTTCCTACCAACACAGCTCCCGAAACGCGTCCCAAGATCTGCACACACCTTCTCGGTAGTGATCCTCCACAGTGATAACGTGGCCGCCTGTGACTTTTGCACTGGATATGATGGTGGCAGCATCCAGGGGTTTAAGGGTAAACAGGTCGATGACGCGGATCGAAATCCCTGGAGGAGAAGAACCCGATGGTCTATGAAGCTGACTTAGATTACAGAAGACCGGTGAGGCAGCCGGGGCCCTCCCTCTCCCCAGCTGGAACCACAGCGCTCACAGCACCCACTGACCTTCTTTAGAAAGCTCATCAGCAGCTTCCAAGGCTTCGTGCAGAGTCACCCCAGCTCCAATAACTGTGACCTTGTCACTGGCACTGTGGCGGACGAGCTGGTACAGAGCCCGAAACAAAGTGCTGTGGTCACTACAGTCGGCACGTGTCAAGGTGGAGGAATCCCGCCCCACTGCCGCTCCCCAGTCCCAACAATGTCACTCCTTAACAACATGCCACAGCAAAGGGCTGAGTGAGCTGCAGTTCAACATGAGGACACAGCCTTTCTGATAAGCCCCATGCATGTTCCTCACATCTTTGTTTACAAATCCCTCTCCTTCTTTTCATTTCCAACTTACTACGTTCCTCTAGGACATGTGCACAAGATGACCCTTCATGAAAGAGGCTGAATTTCAAAGCTAGGATAACCAAGGCAGAGGGCCAGAAGGCATCGCACTGGCCCCCGCCCGTGAGCAGGGGTATGCGCGCTGACTCAGACCCGCCAGGAATCTCTGGACCCGTGTGAGCCTCCGGCTGGCACGCACGCACACAGGAAGAATTCTGGTGACTGATGTGATGTTTGTGGTGACCCTCACCACCTCCCTGTAAGGGACATGCGTCAGTGGGTCCACTTCACAGGTGAGGAACCTGAACCCTGGAGCAGGGAGGAGCTTCTGCCAGCTCCCTCACTCCCCAGGGGAGGGCCGATGGTTCTCCACCACCTACTACTCAGCACGCCAAGAGGAGTCCCCGGACTTTCTCCATACAGTTTTGTTTCCTTCAAAGCAACCTACCGAAGGTTCTTAGAATTATTCTTCATTTCACCCCTAATTATAGGATTCCCGGTAAGCTTCAGACCCACTGCTGACAGTACCAACATTTCGGGCTTCTAAGCTACCCCACTCTCTGAAATGGAAACATATCTATGTCCCTTCTGCAAGACCCACCCTTTCATTACCCATGCCGCGCCGATGATTACACACACTGCAACTGACAGCCCTTCTTTACTGTCCTGGCCTGAGATCTGGAAGATCGGTACCTAACAGCCATTTTTCGTTTGCAATGGTTTCTATTATCTTGTTCAGCTTGAGGCTGTGATGAATTAGTCAAGCAGCTCACCTGCCTTCAACCTGTTACTACTGGAGCTTTACAAATTCACCAAAGAGAGACTCTATTGGGAAAAGAGAAGGGTTTGGTTCGAGCTGAAACTGGCAGAATGTTCCTTCCTGAGGACAAGCAGGCAAAGGTCACAACTGACTTTTTGAAAACTAGAGCAAAGAAAAGACACAGCCTTGGCTGTGAAGCGACCCGGGCGCGACGCCGAGCTGCTCAGAGCTCTCTGCACGTGACTCAAGACTGGACAGTACCGTGGAATTAGGCCCTTACCTTGGCCTGCCCAACCTCAAAGCGTTCTTCTGGGGCATAAATCACCGCAGTTTCTGGACGGGTGGTCCGGATGAAGCACATTCCCTAGGGTATAAACGAAAACCAGCGTTACAGTTGAAAAAAATCAGACTGCTGATTTCCAACTAATAAACCTTGAAACGAGGTGAGGAGGACTGAACAATTCTTTTTATTACAAACAAAAGTCAAGGAACAGAACACTGCTGACACCCCAGAGGTCCCCTGGGCATCCCTCCCCAATCTCAAACCTTCACCCTCCCCGAGCTCCCCGCCATCCGTCACAGTGATCACTTCGTTGCTTGCTTTACCACCTGTGTATGCATCCCGAGACCGTATCACTTAAGTTCCGCCTGCTTTGGAACTTTATATACTAAAAACAAACCAAACCCATTGCCGTCGAGTCGATTCCGACTCATAGCGACCCTACAGGACAGAGTAGAACTGCCCCATAGGGTTCCAAGGAGTGGCTGGTGGATCTGAACTGCTGACCTTTCAGTTAGCAGCCGAGCTCTCAACCACTGCGCCACCAGGGTTTCTGAACTTTATATAGATGGAACCATATCGTACAAATGCTTCTGCGTCTGGCTTCTTTCACTCAGCACGATGCCTTGAGCCGCATCCAGGCTGGTGTAAGTATGCACGTACAGTTTGTTCAGCCATCTGCCTGGCGAAGAACATTCGGGAGCACGAGTCTGCGTGCACGCACTATGGTGGAAGCTCTCAGTCGTGCACAATGACAAGTTCTGTCAGACTTAAGCCTTCCAGTAGACTCCAAATAGTGGAACCAAAGGAGGCATTTAGTCCTTTAGATTCCTTCCAGAAAACAACACTAGTGCCAACTGTAGAATATTTCATAGAGCTTCACCGGAGGTTTCTCCACTTGCTTTAAAGATCCAGTTACAAACGCGCCTACTCTGCTGCTGGGAGTAGAAACCAGAAGGCCATTACGAGCATCCATCAACATTCAAGGCGCAATCGGCACAATGACACACGCCGCAAACAACCACACGCACAGCAAACAGTGAAAAGTTCACCCTAAACGCCCATTAGTAGGAAAGTGGTTAAATAAATTACTGTCCATCTATATGGCTCAGTGGTTAAGGGCTTGGCTGCTAGCCAAAAGGTCGGCGGTTGGAATCCACCAGCAGCTCCTTGGGAACCCTACGGGGCAGTTCTACTCTGTCCTCTAGGGTCGCTAGGAGTCGGAATCGACTGGACGGCAACAGGTATATGATGAAATGCCCCGAGGTCTATAAAAGAGAATGAGACTGCTCTATGTATGTGTAAGTGTAACACAACCTCCAAGGTTCAGGAAGTAAAAAGCAAGTAGCGAACAGTACATACAGAGCGTGAGCCCGTTTGTATAAAGAAATCAAAGGAACATATGTACACGCCTTGTAAATGCTTAGAAAGAAGCCCTGGTGGTGCAGTGGTCAAGTGCTCAGCTGCTAACTGAAAGGTCAGCGGTTCAAACTCACCCAGTAGCTCCACAGGAGAAAAGACCTGGCAATCTGCTCCTGTAAAGATTACAACCTAGGAAACCCTACGGGGCAGTTCTACTTGGTCACATGCGGTCGTCGTGAGTCTAAATCGACTCAGAGGAACCTAACAACAACCAACACTTCGAAAGGGAACGGGCTCGACACCCCCCGACTGTGCCAAGTGAGCTAGCCACTGTGCCAATGGCTACCTGTGTGGGGGCAGGGGCGCAGTGCAGGGCTGGGGTGCTGATGGAGTCTGCCGAATGTCAGAGGGGCTAGCTCACTCTCCGTTCCAAAAGGCCTCTAGGTGGAAAGGTAAAGACTACATCCCAGGCTCCCTGCAGTGAGGCTCTGGACAGGCACTAGACGGCCACTCGATGCACTTGCCATGAGATTTCAGGAGGAGGAAGTGACGCAGAAGCCGCACTCTGGACGCCGGCCTTTCTCAACCGTTTCTGAGGGCCACCCAGGGCCAGCGACATGAGCTTTGTCTGAATGTCAACGGGGAGTGACAGCCTCTGCAGCAATGGGGCTGAGCCCACGCCTGCAGCCCTCCCAGTGACTTCATAAGCACCCTCGTTTCAAACACCCATAGTGTTCTCTGCCTCTTGCACGGAACCCTGGCGGATACAGGCTGCCACGTTCTGTTCAGTATCTCCTATATTGTTCGAATGTTTTACAGTGAGAGCATATTCATGTACTACATGCGTGACAGCTTTTGGAAATGGTTAGACTTTTAAAAGGAATCCTATAACCGACTTTTCTGTAATGAATTCTACTCCTTTTATGCTGAGAACAAACCTAGAAGCACTCTCGGCCTAAGCCCATGTCCCCTTAAACGCACCTGGGTGTTGGCGGCCAGATAAACAGCATGTTCTGTGGAAACAGCATCGCTTGGATAGAAAATAGTGCAACTGGGGATGACGCGAAACATGGCCAGGTCCTCCAGTGCCATCTGCGAGGGTCCGTCCTCACCTGGGAAAACCACACCAAATGAAAACGTGAGCTTCTGTCCGCCCAGCTCGCTACACACCCCTGGGGTGCCCAAACCTGCAACAGGAAATACAAGCCCATCTAACAATTACGTCACCACAACGCATTCCAAGTTCTGAGTTCCCGCACGTTGATTTCCTTTGAGAGCCCTGTAACATCTCAGTTAGGATGATTATTTCCTTCAAAAAATTCTGTTTCCATCCAATCTCCTCACTCCTTCCTCCGTCCTCTACAGTCGGACGGGCGCTCCTCTCTTCAGGCGCACAACTGACCTTTAAGATCAACTAATCGATGGTCTTCTCTTGGCTCTGATCCTCCTCGCCAGCCTGTCTCTCGGTCACGTTGACACCTTTCTCCCTAAGTACCTGGGACCAAGTGAGCCCCTACACACCTCTGACCCTGCCCTCTCCTCCACCAGGAGGGTCCCCTAGGGCTCAGTCCTTCACTCGCTGCTTTTCTATCTTTTCTCCACCGAAAGCCTTGTTTCCCAGAATTCAGTGCTTTTACTCATTTCTTAAAACCTTCAAAGTAGTCTTTCATGCTCACCTGATATACCCTTGAGGCACCCCTGAGCGGCTGTTGTAACTAAGGGTAAAGGGTGTGTTTGAAAACATACTTTCTGACCACAAAAGCTGCAGGGCAACTTAGCTTTTCTCAGCTAGGATGGGGACCGTCACAGTATACAGCGGCTTGCCAAGAACAACTGTCCCATCTCAGAACCCTGGCCCCTCTCCGGGTTGGACCTAGAGCTATTTCTTCACGTAGCTGACTTAAGTTTAAAACTGACGTCGATTCTAGCGCCAGGCTAAGACTTCTAGCCCCTTTCCCAGGCCCCTGCAGGCTTCGAGCCTGGGCCCCCTTCTCTCACTCTACTCTCCCACTGACTGAGTGCACCTGCTCCTTCCTGTTCACCCACGTGGCCATGACTCCCAAGTCTACTAGTCTGGGCCCAGACCTCTCCTCAGTCAGAGACTTCTTATGCGGTCGAATTCTTCCATGGTCAGTTCTAAGTGGACAACTCCTCAGGGTCTAGCTGAATATGCCAGCTCTCACATCTGTCTGGGTAAGCGGCCCCCCGTGGGTATGTCAACTGAGCCAGCCTCCCGACGTCCTCCTATCTGTCCTTCATAAACACAACTCCCTGATGTCTCCCAGACCAGAAACTACTGGAGACTTGGATTTCGCTTTTCACGCAATTCCAGACTCCTCAATCTGGTAGCAGTTTCTCCTTTCTTCTCCAGACTCTCAGATTCACCCTTTATTCTCTACCCTACTGCTAACCCATGTTATGTAATCCTATCTGCCGTCCATTTCCTGTCTCACCAGGTGAACTTCATCAGCATCATCCCCTTGCATCATGCTCCTCAAGGGCCCTTATTCTCCAGCAAACGAAGCACACAGTCCTCCTCAGTGTTCCCAGCCCCTCTTCATCATTCCACCTTCAGCACAGACTGTTCTGCCCAGTCAGCATTCTCACCTCCTTCTGCCCATGCTGCTTGTGCCAATGGGGATGTGCTCCCGGTCTAACCCCTCCAGGACCATGCCAGCCCCACCCCTCTGTGAAGTCTTCTCCTCTGCCCCGCGACACCCCTCCAATCGTGTCACTCCCCACCTCCAGAGTGAAAGTACCCAAACCGGCAGAATTCAGAATGCATACCGACAGACACCCCGCAGTGAGAACCAGCAAGGTTGACATTGGTTTGAGAGACGGCTCCCACACGGATCTGATCAAACGCTCGGGTCAAAAAGGCAGCGAAGGTACTAGCGAAAGCAATGGTTCGCCCACGTGTGGCACAGCCCAGGGCCACACTCACCTGCAACACCAACAGAGATTGGGACATGTCTTAACATCACTGTGGTTGTTAACCACCCCCCTCACGCCTTGTTATTCCTTACCCCGTGTAGATTCCACAGTCCTCCTTGATCACCCTGTTTCGCACACCCTTAACTACCTCGCTCTTCTCTCTCTTCCTCACTTACCTGGCAAACCCAACCATCTGTCTCCTCTGTACCTGCACTGGAGCTGCTGAACACGGCTAGAAAATAAATACCTGTGCTGACTGGTCTCCTTTCAAGTTCAAGAGTGGGACATTTTAGAGACACCCGGCACTGCTCTGTAGTTCGAGCATGTATCCTTCCCCATTCGTCTCCTCCCTTCTTAAACCTCTGCACCCCTTCCTGCCCCACCCTCTCAGACTGCACCCTTATTTACCCCGTACCTTGTGAGGAAAGAAGTAAACAGATGGGTGGTCTCTCCCATCGGCCACCTACCTACCCAACCCCCACCCACCCTCCCTGTACCATTAGGAGTACCTGAGGCCAACTTGTCCACTTGCCATCCTGAGCCTTGTCCCTCTCTTGCTTTCTCAAGGGTATCTTTAATTTTGCAATTATCCTTCCCCCCGGCTGTATTGAATCAGTCTCTCCCTTTCTCTTGGATCATTCTAACACCAGTCAAGTATGTTCTAGTAGCTTCCATCTTAACCCTTGCACCTCTGCCTTGTCCTCCCTCCAGAGATTATCCAACATCTATGTTCCCCTTCACAGGAAACTTCTGGAAAGAGCTGTCTACAATCGCTGTCTGGACCCATGTATCCTGCATTCTCTCCCCCAGCCTACTTCATCTAGACTTCCACGCCCAGGAGTGAGCTCTTACTTCCCAAATCCAAGAAGCTGCCTAACCTCCGCCTGCTTATTTGGCCCCTCAGCAGCATTCAATACAACCCATCGCCTCTCTTTTCTCCAGGCCTTTCCTTCTCGGGCTCCATCTGCATACTCTGTCTCACTTGCCCTCCCTTTCTAGGAAACCACATCCCATGTAACACCTTTAACATCATCTGTGTTATGATAATGGCCCCCACATTTCCATCACTATTCCTGACCTTCCCCTGGAGCTCCAGACTCATATGCACCAGAAGCAGGCCATTTTAGAGGGAATCAATGTCAAGGTCCTAGATCAAGATCATGATCCCTGACTCCATATGGTCTCAGTTTTGTATTCATCTGGTGTTAGAAAGGGCCTGTAGTCTCCCTTCCCACCATCTCTTAAACAATCACCTTTCAGCAACCTAACCCCCTACAGGCACAATCTCACCCACCCTGATCTGTAGAATGGCACAATATCCTGGAATACAAAACCTCCAGGTGCTAAATAAAGAAGATAATTTGAAATAATCATTGCAGTGTTGAGAAAGTGAACAACTCAAATGATTACACAGCCAATCTCTTCGCAAGTCAGCTTGTTTCCAATTATTTTCTTTGAACAAAACTGAAAGAATGAGAATCAAATGAAACGGTCAGCTCTTTACAGATGTTTCACAACAGACCATTCTGTGATTTTTGGCTTATAACTGGGAAGGAATGCAAAGACTCGAGTGACATTCCTACAACTTTCATGCATAAAAACCAGCTCTTCTCAGCCCAGCACGCACTTTCCTGCTTAAGGCTCTCCAGTGCCTTCCTAGCAAACTGGAACAGGACCCAGGAGACTCAGAAAGTGATGCCGGCGAACTCTCGGAGGCCACCTCCCTCTGCTTTTGTCTCCAACATCCCAAGCTTGGCCTGTCTTGGCACTAGGTGTGTTCTCCGCTGGGACTGCTGCCCCCTGATCTGTGCATGACTATGTGTCACTTAGGTCTCAGCTTAAATGTCACCTCTTTGGAGGGGCTGTCCCGAACGCCTGCTCTCACCGTCCTACCTCTAACAGGCAGAGCCCTAACTCCTACCTGCTAGTCTCTCTCTGCATGTTTTCTCTCAGCTATGAGAACAGGGGCCTCACCTGTGCCAGGACATCCGAGCGGGCCGCAGTGACTGTGTGCTGAAGGATCACTGAGTTGGGGAGCAAACTCTTTGACAGGAGATTGATACAGGAAATTATGGGGAATATTTTTTTCCATTCAGAATGAAAATAGCTTAACGAGACTCACAGAAAACTATGTGTATTCTTACAACTGTGATTACCTACTTTCTTGAACAGAGAATGGTTAAATTCCAACATCTCCAGGGCCAGATAAGCCCCACCAGTGATGAGCGGGTCAGCAGAGTGCAGGGACCATGGAGGGCCAGCTCTGGGCACCCCTTTGTCATCAGGAGGGAATGCCAGCCCAGCATGGTCAGATTCTTCCATTTTCAAGAGAATGCAGACGTTTGGATCCTACATACAATCTCCTGATTTTTACTGGCATACAGCTTTAGAGTTCAAGGTGTCTACTTTCATTAACTCCTTTCTCTCTTGAAAGGTGGGTGTTTGTGCATGTCCGAGCAGGAGTGAGCATGGGGGAAGAGAGAGAGAGGGAGCAAGAGATGGAGGTACAGAGAAGCAGACTCCCCGCATCAATCTCACTCTGGGGGAGACTAAGGCACGGAGAGGGACCCCTTTTACTCAAGGCCACAGCTCTAACTCCTGGCTTTGCTGAGGCTGGAGTTAGTGTGACATTTGCTTATCTGTTCAGCAGCAGGCCCTGTGCTGGAGAGGAGAGAGAGAACTGAAGTCCCTGTGGCCCTGTCTACCCGTCTCCCTTGGGTGGTTGTGGGGTTACCTCGTGGTGGGCTGGGCTGGGCAGAAAGAGTAGGGGACCCAAAGCTACTGAAGACGGCGTGGAGCCCTGGGGTCAAATGGCTGTAGGCCCTGCGCCGCCCGGCCCTCCCCGTCCAGACAGCCACAGCTCAGACTCTGCCCCCACCACTCTCCACCTGTCTCTCTGGAGACTTTTTCTTCAATCCCTCTGCTTTTACAAGTGGAAAGAAAACTGGTAACGCTGGGGGGTGGGCGGAGGGGACTCCGGTGCCCATGGGCACTGCCGGTCCATCAGAAGCCCCAGGGCCTGTCCTAGCCCACTCACCATGTTCTGCTCAGCAATGAAACACTCGATGAACCGCTCGGGGTGCTCTTTCTGGAACATCTCAGAGAAGGTGGAGTTCTTGGTGTCACCGTCCAGGGCAATGACTCTCTTGTTTGCATGGCCCAGCTTAGCCAGAGCCAGACCATAAGCTTTCCGAGTAGCCACCTGGAAGAAACAAGGACTTGCCGGGAGTTTCTTGGAATGACTGGATTTTGAATGACTTCCTTTTGAAGGAAGGCAAACTTTTGTAGAACAAATTGCCATCTACTTTGATGAAAGAGCAAATTGGTAAATCACCGCTAATCTCCTTTGGGGTCATAAAAATAGACGACTAGCCTATTTGGCACTCATATTCGGCTCTTCTAGTTATCAATTTCTCAAACATGCATTCCACATGTGGCGAGTATAGTCCCTGGCTTTTTCATGAATTGTGCAGTTTTTAGCCAAGATCTTCCTACCCTCACTCCCCAAGCAGAAAGACACTCCCAAACCCAACAGTGATAATTTCAGACAATACCAGTTCTTACTGATCATGCAAATTATTTTGTTATATTAACTGATCTACTGTCTAGGCAGAACATAAAATAATTCACAGATGGTATTTTACTGGAAAAGTCGGCCTCATAAATTTATTCTTCTGTCCCACACACATAGTTCATGAAAGACTTCAAATTTATTTTCCAAAATGCAAATACCTCTGTGGCTTTTTAATTAAAAAGCTGATAATATTCGCTGTAAAATAATTCAAATACACAAAAGCATAAAGAACAAAGTAAGAGTCTTTCCTATCAGTAGCTCTACCTCGTTCTTCAATCTTCAAGGCCTGGGAAGTATTTTGTTCTACAGAGCACTGGGGGCTGGGACCAGCAGCATCCCCGGGACTCGCTGGAAATGCACATTCTCAGGCCTTACCCAGAATTATTACTCAATAAAGCTGTTATTAAGAAAGCAAGGTTTGCCTCTGCATTTATTTAAGTCTTCATTCATTCGTTCATCCAAGCACTTTTAAAACATGTTTTCCTAAACATATCTCTAAAACAGGTAACATAGATGGTACCCAATTGAAAAGTTACAGAAGGATAGAGTGGAAAGCCCATCTTCCTCCCACTCCGTCCCCAGCATCGGATCTTTCAGAAGCGGTCATGGCACAAATAATGGATGTGCATCCCTCATATCCAATCTTTTAAGGTCTCTACTGTTACAAGCACCTTAATATAAACCTTGTATATTTATTTAATTTTTATAGCTATTATAAAAATCAATATTATCTGCTAACTAGTTGTTGCTAATATAAGAAAGGAACTGATCTTTGCATATCAGTTTTGCTCCAAGCTGTCGTACTGGACTCTTATTTCTAATAATTTCCAGTTGATTCTCTTGGGTTTTCCAGATACACAACCTTAAAACCCATTGCCATCGAGTCTATTCCAACTCATAGTTACCGTATAGGACAGAGTAGAACTGTCACATATGGTTTCCAAGAAGCTGCTGGTGGATTTAAACGGCTGATCTTTTGGTTAGCAGCCAAGCTCTTAACCACCATGCCACCAGGGTTCCATGTACAACTATGTCACCTGCAAATGGTGATAGGTTTGCCTTCTCCTTGTCAATACGGATTTTTTAATTTTCTCTTATTTAACCGCACTGGCTAGCATCTCCAGGGCAGGGCTGAACACCTTTGCCATTAGGTACAAAGGTGGTTCCAGGTTTGAGATGTCTAGACCTAGATGGAGAATTGAAATGAAGAACTATCTCACCAGTTCTGTTTTGTTTTACTAAGAGTTTTTAAAAAACCAGGACTGAATGTTGGATTTTATGACCTGCTTTTGTTTAGCATCTGTCAAGATAATCATGTGTTTTCCCCACCCCTGACCTAAAAGCACAATAAATTATCTGAGCAAGTTTCCTAACACTGATGAATCTTCTGCATTACTAATCTGAACCTGAGTCAGTTCCACACTTCTTTTAATGTACAAACAGAGTTGAGATTGGCTAATGTTTTCTTTAGAATTTTTACATTAATATGCCTAAGAGACTGGTCTGTAGCTTCTTTGGGCTAGCTTTGTCACGTTCTGGCGTCAGAGACAAGCTGGGAGGCTTTGGACTTTCTCCATATTTGGAAATGTCTGAAATAGCCTAGGAATTACCAGTTCCTTGAAGGTTAAAAATAAGCCAGTCTTGTAATTTGGTGAGCCTGGCACTTCGGAGATAGAGCTCTTTGACAGCTTCCTCACTTAGTTCTATGGCTATCAGTCTATTTTACGTTTTCTGTATCCTTTTGAGTTGATCTTCCTATTTTACATATTACTGAAAAACAGTCCCTTCTTTTACAAGTTTCCATACCAATTAGCATAGAGTCGTATTCAGTCTTCTCTCTTGTAATTCTTTGAATGTTCTCCACATCTCTGCTTATGTCCTCTGCCTAATGGCTAATGTTATATATTTATGGTTTTTAACTCCTGGAGTGGACTAGCTAATACTTCAGAATGAGTATTGCAGAGAACTAGCTCTTAGATTTATGTACTAATGCAACTTTTTGTTTTTTAATTAGTTGATTTTTGATACATTGGCCTGCTTCCTTAATTTGTTAATTTTTTCCTATTCATAAAATACATACACTTCAATAAAAATTAATAAAGTCCCCATAATTCCACTTCCCACAACCACAATAATTTAGTACAATTTCTCAAAATACACTTTTCTATACTTTATACTAATGTATAATACCACTTTTTAAGATTTTCTACACAAAAATAGAATTATACTCTGTTGCTTTGTAACTTTCGAAAAAATAATAGTGTTTGGAAATCCTCCCATGTCAATGCATGTGTGTATCCTCTTCATTCTTTTTTTTTTTTAATACTTTAGGTGAAGGTTTACAGAACAAATAGTTTTTCATTAAACAGTCAGTACACATATTGTTTTATGACATTGGTTAACAATCCCACGACATGTCAACACTCTCCCTTCTAATGCCTCCTCATTCTTAAGGGCTGCACTGCCTCCCAGTGTCCAATCGTGATCACAGTGACAACAGCTCACACCCAGTGCCTGTAGGCACAGCAAGCCTAGGGGGTGGTGCCATTATGACTTCCACTGGCAGACGAAGAAACCCAGCCCACGGGTCACAACCGAGGGAGCAGCAGGGACAGGCTGTCACCTCTGCCTTCTAGCTGTAGGGACCCAGCTCTTAGCCTCTCCTGCCAGACTGTTTCCAACTTTGCTATCATAACCAACATTGCAATGGACATCCACTCAGACAGACCTCTCTGTACAGCTGCACGGGCATTTTTTTTTTTCAATTGTGCTTCAGGTGAAGGCTTACAGAACAAATAGTTTCTCATGAAACAGTAGTACACATAATGTTTTATGACACTGGTTAACAACCCCACAACATATCAACCTTCTAACTTCTCAACCTTTTTTGGTGAAAATACACATAGCCAAAGATACCCCATTTCAAAAATTTCTACATGCACAGTTCAGTGACACTGACTACGCTCTTCCAATTGTGCTGCTATTCTCACTTTAGATGAAGGCTTACAGAACAAAATAGTTTCTCATTTAACAGTTAGTACACGT